ATTTAGATTTTGTCAAAAAGCAATAGCCAATAATGACATAGTGCTTTGCAGTTAATAAAGCACTTACACATAACATCTTTTAACTTAATCATAAAATTGTGTCCAGTAAATAGTATTATATGGATGAGAGAGTGATTTGCTGAAACTGAGTATAATTATCTCCTCTTAACAGAGAAGCAGCCTCTCTCCCAGTGGGGTTAAGTGACTATCTCAAAATGGAACATTCATGAGGAAGCACTGCCAGACCTCCAGCAGTCATTGTATAACTTTCTATAATATAAAGACTCTGAAACAAATACACAGCAAGCATGTGTCAAAGATTCATTTAACTCATGAGGGAACCAGCAGAATGATGAACTTGGTCTGAAGGACATGAGGAATTGATAGAGTCCAGTTGGAAAAAAAGAATGCTATAAGAATATTGCAGATGGACACTAAACTGTATAATGCCCTACAAGGCAAGAAAACCTTAACTCTTGGGGTTACCTTTTCTACCAAACAGAAAACATCTGCAACTTAATGATCTTTCTTAAGTTAACTTCAGAGGGATAAATACAAATCAATAGTTCATAGTAAGTCAAAGTCCTCTTCCCCCACAGCAGGGGTCATCAAACTTTTTCTGTATGGAGCCAGATGGCAAATACTTTAGCCTCTCTAGGCATACGGTCTCTGGGTCTCTGTTGCATCCATCCAACTTTACTGTTAGGGTATGAAAGCTGCCCCTGACAATAGGTAATGAATGAGCATGATTGCAGTCCCATAAAACTTTATTTGCAAAAAAAAAAAAAAAAAAGAACAAAATTTGACCCACAAGGCATAATAGAATATTTGGTGATCCTTAGGTGACCCAGGTAGGAAAAATCCTTTATGGGCAACTTTGAGAAGACATAATGTTTTTTGTTTTTTTGGCCTTATTTTCAAATTTAAGACAATTTTAAAAACAGTACCCAGGACGTCAAATGGTAAATCCCATGTCCATCCCCCACATCAAATAAGAATTTTGGCATATCTCTGAGGTTCAATCTTTGGAGTTCAGATAAGAAACAAATAAGGCTCTATTAAAGCAAGTTTTATCAATATTTCAAGCTTTTGCTTGCTTTACTGGGGAAAATATTCTGTGAATCATACATCCACTTTCCATTGACTTGATGAATTCTCATCAGAACCAAGGGGAATCCCTAATGTTGATGGGAAATCCCTGAGGACCATCGGAAATGCCTGATGCTAGCTAGCCACTTCCAAGTGAAGGAGCAGCATTCATCTAGAATGGCCATGTGAATGGAGTCACTGAAAGCAGCTGATTCAGCACTCAGGCTTCATATCAAAACCAGCAGAGAGATCTGCATTAAGCTGTTTCATTCAAATTATGTTTTTTGAAAGGTGATAAGTCAAACAATGTCCTTTTTAATACAGTGGAAATCACATGATCTCTAGAGAAAACACTCCTGTGTCCTGATTCCTGTTCACTTATAATCAGGTTGTGGGCTCAGTATACTACCCTACATTGAGCTCATGAAGTCCTATCTGTAATAGATGACTGCCAGAATCAGACTTAGAAGCATACTCTTTTTTTAAAATTATTTTGCTCATTTTTATTTATTTTTTACATACATGACAATAGTGAAATTATCACCCATTTACAGCACAAGTTTTCGTAACTGTATATAAAGTATGCTCACGCCAAATTACACAAGCATACTCTTTATAGGTTTTGCTTAATTTGAACATTTATACATTACAACTGTGGGCTAAATACTATGCAAAGACACTACAGTTTCAAAACTGAGCACAGCATTAAATTTTTAAAAATATGCTATTTATTCAGAAAAAATGCTGATATAATAAGCACTAGGTGCTTAGGTCATTCATTGCTACATAAGTCATGTGTAAATACTCTATAAAGGACAATCTAAGTAGAGTAGTGGCACAGTGAGAGTGATAAAAACTCCTGTAACATTGTGCTGCTGTAACAGAATACCACAGATTGGATAATATTTTATAAACAACAGACATTTATTTCATTCACAGTTCTGGAGTCCGAGAAGTTCAAGTTTGAGGGGTCAGATGGAAGAGCAAGAGTGTGCAAGAGAAGGAGAGGAAGGGACCCAAACACCCTTTTATCAGGGACCCACTTCCAAGATAAAGGCATTTAAATGCCCCCTCGTAAGGGCAGAGCCCTCATGACCTGATCACCTCTTGAAGGTCCTTTTAACACTTGCACTGGGGAATCAAGCTTCCAACTCATGAACTTTGGGGACACATTCAAACTACAGCAATTACTCAGGTAAACAAGTTGAGTGTTGATGATTTCCAAAATGGCTAGTAGATGAGGTAGACCAGAAAGGCACAATGGCTTACACTTATAGCATTGTAAGTCTAAAAATCAGTTGGCAAATATTACTGAGATAAGCAAGAGAGTCAAAAGAAAAGAGAAATAAGATATTAATGGTTTGTTATGAACAGCTATTGTCCAAGGGGATCTCTCTCAAAGGTCTCTCCAATGGACTCCTCTTAGAAGTTGCTCTGTAGGTTTAAATTATCTTTTCACTCCCCAATTTTGCTGTTTTAGTCATATTTATTTGTGTCTGCTAGCAATCATGGCTTCCTTCTGCCAGCTGGTTTTCTAATTTTTCAGTTTCTAGAAACTTATAAACAGAGGAAAATCTGATAAAAATAACTTGATATGTGATGAGTTGATACATTAGAGGATTCCTGTTGTTGCTTAACAAAGATCATACTTCTTCCGTATTTCTCTAATGGAAACAAAGTGTATAGGTAACATTTCCATGTCTCACTATGGTCTACATTTAGGTTCATATACTATTTTTAGGAATGAACATACAACACATTAGTTCTATTTTTAACAAAAATGATAAGTTATCCTAAAAATAAGAAAGCCATCTAACAAATTCTGACCCAAACTATGGTTTGTCACAAGTTTTTGGGTAGTTTAAGGAAGGAAAAACAATTAAAAGAGTTGTGAAATGGAAGAAAAATGATGGGAACTCCAAATCAAATGTATGAAATATGATATGTCAAGAGCTTTGTAATGTTTTGAACAACTAATAATAAAAAAAATTTTAAAAAATGATGGAAAAACTTATCAAGTCGAAGTCTCCTTTGAAATCAACTTTTCAAGCAAAATGTACTTCTTCTTTAAATGCTGAGTGACCACCATAGAAAGCACATGTACATGATACTTAAATAGCTACCACAAAAACAGGAAAGCTGTCCTCTAAAACAAAAATGACACAATATTTTCATAGTAAAAGAAAAATGTTTTAGAAATTACTAGCATGGTTCACTTAAAAACTAAATTCAGTGGCTCTGAATTACTTATATAATAACAGGTTGTGGTTTTATCTGTGAAGACCAAATATAATATTAGTACATAACCAACAATTACAGAGGACTATGCCAAAGGAAGATGATTTTCTACATGCAAAATGACTAAGAAAGGTACACTAACATTACACAGCAATGAATGGGAGCCCACTATTTTTCCCTTTCATTTTTATCAATAGTCAAGAAAAATGCTGGGAGTTACAGAATAAAACAAACATGTCATCATATTAAATACAACACAAAATTTTTCAGGATATAATTCAGGATTAAAAAAAAAAACTAGCTCCTTTTAAAACTTAGAATGCTATTTGTTAAAAGGCCAATCAATATTCACTGGAAATGAAAGGTCAGGAAACTCACCTGAAAACAACCATTATTATATGACTTGAAAACATGTCTGCAATATCTTTGATACCCCTCCCTTCAAATGATAGACTCAGTGCCTTACTTCTAATGAAAAGAATGGGTAGAAATGATACTGTATATCCCAAAGGATACAGCCTCTGCCTGGAAGTGTAACACCTGCTCTCTGGGTGCTTGCCCTTAGAATCCCACAAATACTTTGTAAGGCCAGGGCATATGGAGAGTCCACCCATAGGTGTTTTAGTCAGTAGGCCCTCCAAGATTCCCCGGCTGACGCCTGTCAGTCATATGAGGGATAAGACTGTAGCACCTAGACTTAAGAATCTTCTCACTTGGGCACCAGATACTATTCGGCAGAGATAAGCCAAGTCTGCCTTGTACTCTGGATTCCTCACCCACAGAAACTATCTGAAATAACAAAAGATAATTGTTGTGTTTAGCCACCAAGTTTTAGGATAATGTGTTTTGTAGAAATAGATAAATCGAAATAGATAGATATGTGGAATGCATTTATATCAAATATAGAATTTTTTTCAAACTGGAAAAATAACCCTTATACAAACCAATTATAGAATATATCCTCCATTTAATAAATTTAGTCTTATTTATGTAATACAATTAAACTACATTAATTTGAACTTTTCTATTTTGAAATCTGATAACTCAAATTCTAAATTTTAGAATATTTTGGCTGAATATCTTCATTAAACTATATCATTAAAATAGATCACCTGGAGAGTTCAGGTGATCTATATAAGAATACAAGAATAATAAAGCTAATTAAGATTAAAAAATTGCTTTGAAGTACTTAAAAGTATAGCATTCTATACAGAAAGTAATCAACAGTCATTAAACACTAAATGAAAATAAGATGCCTCAAGTTCTTCCCAATCACTTTTCTATATTAATTAGTTTAAAATACCATTTGGCAAATTGATCAGTTTGGTTCAAGCAAATTATATGTATGTATATATATATATATATATATATATATATATATATATATATATATATATATATATACACATTTTAATTTCCTAATAGAGTTCCCTGAAGGCATTCTTGTCTTGTTCATCTCTGCATCTCTAACAAACATAATAATGATGTATGTCAAGTATTATAGTTGACCAATATTTACGCAAATTAACAAACTGCATTTAAGTACTTGAAGCTCATTTGACAGTCTTATAACTCGCTGTTTTTCTTAGTAATTTGTTCTGCTCTTCCTCATGATTAGCCCACGTTAGTTGATGTTTTTATTATATATCCAAAGAGCACACTTTACCCATTTATTACCTTTAATGAATTTATTTATAGCAAAGATAAGGATACAAATATCTTCCATATATAATTGGTAAGATATTCCTTCATTTCTGGGACTGTAGCATATGCTATGCTACCCAGGCTGCAGACATTGAAGTGAGAAGAATGGCGCCTCCTGGGCAGTGGGATGCGGAAGCCTGCTCATGTCCTCTGGCTCACAAGATTTCCATTCTAAGAATCAACCTATAAATTAACATTATTTTCGAAAGATTGCTAAGACAGTTTGTTTTGCTTGAAATAGAAAAGATGGTTTAGTTAGAACAGACATCAACTTGACAGTGTCATAATGTCTAAGTAAATACTAAACATTTCTCATTGAATAAAATTTTGAAATATTTATTTATAAAGTTAATAGCTATCTTGGAAATTAAGCAATTCACTGAATATTCTTTCACATACATTTACATTTAATTAGTGCTGAAAGTAAGATGTTCATAATTTCTCCAGTATCAATCTGAACATAAAACTAACTTAATAAGATGCAGGTTCCAGTACAAATTTCCTAGTTAGTCATATCATCCTGGACAAGCCATTTTAGATCTCTGCCTTCACCCACATCAAGCAGGGGTAATCATAGCTTTTCTTAACCTGCCTTCTAAATAAGCAGACATAAGATTATGTGGTAACATTTTGCTTAAGTCACTAATCACAAATAAGGTAAACTATATAAGATTTTCATCATTCTCAGCTATTTTCCAATATTTTACTAATATTTTTATAACCAATGTAAAAATCGCATGTTTAATACTACAAAATTCAGTAGTTATACAAGGTGAAGTAAAATGGTAAATCTAGTCATAAGATTAAACCCATTCAACCATGTTCTCATTTAATCATGTTAAAAATTATAAAAATAGGTAAAATTTCACAAAAATATTTCTTCTTATGGTAGTTTAGGAATTCTTGCCCACATCAATAGATTGTCTGGCATCAGCCACGGCCTCAGGTACTCGAACAGTCATATTGTCCATAGATTTGGTCAAACAGATTTGGCAGCCCAACCGTGATCTGTACAGAAAAGGGATAGGTATGTTTATTAAGTATATGTCAGTGCAGTTGTTTAGTATGTTTTTATGTTTTTTTACCCAACACAGGAAATTAAGTAACCTTCTAAATTTTCTTTTCTTTTTGTTACTGGGAATTGAATGCAGGAGTGCTTTTCCACTGAGCTACAACCTCAGTTCTTCTTCTTCTTATTATTATCATTATTATTATTATTATTTTGAGAGAGGGTCTCACTAAGTTGCTGAGAATCTCTCTAAGTTGCCCAAGTTTCCCAGGCTGCCCTGAAACTTGTAATCCTCCAATCTCAGCCTCCCAAATCACTGGGATTAAGGTTGTATAACATCACAAGTGGCAACCTTTTAAATTTTCATTAGATCAAAACAGATAAAAACCAGCCTGATCAATTAAAGGGTAACAGAACACAAATATGAAACACAAAAAATCCTGGTGTGCCAAAGCTTCATTTTAGCCTTTAGTTTTTATCAGTTACTAATTGACTCTCCAGAACTATTATTATTATTTTGTTTTTTGGTGAAACAGCAGCCAAACATTGAAATGGTACAATAGTGGACAAGAGAATATGAGCTTATTAGCAAACCTATTATTTGCTAATAACAAGAGGTTATTAGCAAAGTCAGCAAACTGTTTATCAATTCCCAGATAATTAAAACCATACTGACTGTGGTGGGCCTTAAAGACTATTAGTTACTCCTGATGTTTACAAAAAGCTGTAAGATAGTGCTACTCTCTCAGAAACTACTAATGTAATAAGTGACACAGTTATGAAGCAGAGCAGATTACTGTTCTAAAAGACAAAGCAGTGATGCACTGTGGCCATTTGCTCATTCTCCTACAACTTCTACCTCCTTAAAGGTCTCTGGCTCTAATATCTACTCAATGCAGACAGTGTCTCATACTTCTAGAGAAGGAGACAGACAGCAAGGCATCCCATACTGTAAATCCCACAAAACCCTGACATTCATGTAAATCTGAAAGATACTTTATCTGTCACTCCTGCCCTGTTTCCCTGACAGTGAAAGTACACTCAGGTTGTTAACCCTACTTCTAAGGTTGGTTTTCAATTCAGAGAAGTAGCTTGAAATATCGAAAGTCCAAGGGCTCTGGGGCCCAACATAACTGAATTCAAATCAGAGCTCTGCCACCCACTAGTTGGCAGCCTTGTGTAAATCTACAATAACTAAATCTGCTTCTTATCTATAAAATGCTGAGAATACTGTCTAAGCCTGAAAAGTGGGAATAATCCTCATTAAGTGCCTAGGCATTACAGTAAGTACTCAACATATAAGTTGGTATCAATTAGATATAATACTAACAACTACCATTTAATGAATACCACCAGGAACCATTCTAAGAGTTTATTCATTAACTCCAAAGAACAACCTATGAGGTAGGTGCTATCATTATCTTCATCCTACATGTAAGAAATCTGAGGCCTCTATGTAGATTATCCATGGAAAGTGAAAATAGGGAGTAAAGACAATTGTCAAATGTATATTCACAGATAATTCCTTAATCTCTCGATCCATGTATTATTAATTTCACAAACATTTAAGAATTCCCTATTGTTAGGCACTGGAGACAATGACAAAATAAGACCTGGCTCCTGTATTATGTAAGAAAGGAAACAGGTAACCAGCAAGCAAGAACCCATAGGAGGTCTATTCATAAACAGGGCTAATACGCTGATAATAGACATTGTTAATGATGGTGGTATATTTACGTAGCACTTAACTTCAAACTAAGGATATAAACTCAAAGGCTGATTTTCCCTGTTTCTTTGTTTTGGAATATATGGTACCCTGAAAAATAGTTACATGTTGGTTACTAGCTTTGATTTTATTCCAGTATGCCAGAGAGCTGTGTAAATGCTGCATAAAACACCTCATATTCATTCTTCACAAAATATCTCTACTAAAATTCCATGTTCTTAAGCATAACAGACATGAAACATTAAAATCTCTCCTTTGCTCTCTGTTATCTTATTCTAACACCTGGAAATCTTATTATTGCTTATGGTTGGTTTACATTTAATATAGTCCTTTTTATATCTTTTTACAACCTGTACCTCTTCTAGATGTAACTTTTCCTATTCCCCTTATTTGCTTTTTCTTTTCACTTAGAATATTATGTATTACATGCACATACAAATTCTTTTCTGAATAAAAGGGCAAGCAGTTAGCTATAGCTGAACCCTCTTATTAACACACACAAGAAGGGAAGGAGAAGAAGAGGTAGTGGGGACTGAATTCGAACAAGATATATTCTATTTTTTATAATTATGTCAAAATGAATTCTACTGTCAGGTATAACTAAAAAGAACCAATTTTTTTTAAAAAAGACACAATTATCAGAATGAATCTAATGCAGTCACTAGATGTATTCTGTTATTCTTTAGGGAAAAAAAGAAAAGGAAGTGTTGGTAAAGAATGTGGCCTGAAGAGAGATGAGAGGGACAGGTAGATGGCAGCCACACCTGCTGAGCTTTGGTGTCTAAAGAGATAATATGTCCCCAGTCTTTCTTTCAGGGTTATCAGTCTCACCTCTATTAAGAGGGAAATGTACTATGAAAGCAAAAAAAATAAAATGATTCAAAATGTCTGAATAAACACAAATGACCTAAAAACTTTGTGTGCACTAAATGATAGTTTATGTTCAAGTGTTTAACAAAATTGTAGCTACAAATTCCACATGAAATTAATAAAATTATTATTACAATTGCTTATAATTGTTTCAAAAATTATTTTTCATTCGGGTTACCAAATCACAGTTAAACAAAGCCCACCTTAATTAAATAATAATTATTTAATTATCTTTCTCCTTGAATAAGTAAATCAACTTCTTATCTTTCCCCTTGAATAAGTAAATCAACTAGCAACCTTAACTTCAACCAAAACTAGATAATTAAAAATAATAATAATAAGGTATCACTCGATGTCACCTACTACTGTAAATATTACATTTAAGAATAACTCTACCTATTAATTAATAAGTTCTAATTAATATACATTTAGAAAAAGAGCTAATCATCTTAATATAATTACTGTTATATATTGTTTCTTCAAAATTTCTGCTCTCTCAAATAGGTAAAATTTTCCACTATAATTTTGTTCAATTATCAAATCTATCTTTCAAGAACACTATAAAAAGCATTATGCTTAATTCCATCCTGCTAAACTGTGATAAATATTAATTCCTGCAATAAAAAATAGACTAAAGAAGATATATTAGGATCTTAAACTTACAATTCTTCCAATTTTAAAAATTTTTTTACTTTTGTTAAGGGGAAAGTTTTGTATAAGTCTTAACTATGGGACAGTGAAAGAGAAATGCCACATATTTAGTACATAAAACTTGTGACTGTTCCCTAAGCTGGGAGAACTCAGATGTGGTCTTCAATAAACAAAGTGACAGCATGTGGATCATTCCAGATTATGAGTACAAGTGAAGAACTCTTCAGGCTTACCTGTCTGTGAGCCCATAAGCCAGATCAAGCATGTCATTCTCCTCATCAGTGATTGCTTCTAACTTCTCATATATGTGATCTTCAAAGATGAGGTGACAAGTAGAGCAAGCCAAGGTTCCCTCACAAGCACCTGAAAAAGCAGCAATCACTGAACATACCCCTCCTCGACATTATACAATCTAAACCTGGCTTCCAACATTTAAATATTTCTGAATTTTAGAATCAGTGTTATAATACTAAATTATTTTCAGAATAGTAATGAATTAGGGATTACGCCCCACCATCACCCCCTACCCCACATTTTGAAATCACTCATACAGTATTTCACAAAGGTTCTGGATAAGATGCTATGAAAGAAAACATGAGACTATATAGATCCAGTACTAAAGAGCCTACAGTTTTAAGCTGAGACATGTATACATATAAAAATGTGTACATATTAAAACATATATAGTAATAGTTTATATCATAGCGCCTAAGCTATTTACTTTTCCTCAAGAGCACAACTCAATTTATAAAGAAAGCAGTCAAACCTGAAGGTAAATAAGGTTAAATAGTCTTCCTTCTCAGTCTCTCATCACAATCAGAACAGAATCAAATAAGTAATTAAGCCACCAATTCTACATCTGTCCAGCTTCCACCATGCTGAAGTCTGCCACTCTGTAACCTCCACCTACTGATCCAACTGTATCCTGGAGTAAAATATAAAAAATAGCTTTCTGCATAGCTTAGACTATACTTCCTTCTCCAGCCTGAGCATACCTATGTTCTCCACATTTTTCTTACATAACACAGCTCCAAATCCCCTTCCTCAGGCCAGCTGGACTTTTCTTAAGATAGCATGTCTAGAACATATTAGAATTCCATTGAGGAACAGGGTCATGCAGAATCATATTCCAGCTGAATTCAACTTTAATAATAAGTTATTTAAATATTATTAAAAAGCTACTGCACGACTTTAAAGACTGTAGAGTACTAGGAGTAGCTTCAATTAAACCCAAATTCTTTGGGGGCCAATAAACACTACTGTATATAACATATATACCAGAACTACTGTTAATAATTGGTAACTTTGATTTGTCTCTGAATGAATCATTTTAATAAGTTGTTCCCACCTCATTATTCCAACATTTGTTAATCATTTTATTATCTAAAAAAAGAAAGAAATGAGAGCCTTCCCTAAATTTTTATTTTCATTAAATCAAATTCAAAGCAGTAATAGGATTACTGGAGAGAGACCATTCAGTGAAGTACAGGGAGTTAGAACACAGGCCCAGGAGGCAGCTGCCTGGCTTCATCCACAGCTCCTGTTTACTGTGCAACTGTGGGCTGCTTTATCCCCCAGCCTCAGCTTCCCCAACAGTAACTGTATCAACTACACATAGTAGTTTCAAGAATTACATTTGAGTGTAAGTAAATATATATATTGGCAACCATTATTGGTAAACTAAAAATAAGTACTGTGGCTAGGGCTGGGGCTCAGAGGTACAACGCTCGCCTATCATGTGTGAGGTGCTAGGTTCGATCCTCAGCACCACATAAAATAAATAAAATAAAGGTATTGAGTCCAACTACATCTAAAATTTTTTTTTAAAAAAAGTAAGTACAATGTGAGTGCTTACTACTTGGTAATTATTATTATTTGGAAATGACAAGAAATTTTATAGTAACTCAATTTTCTTTATAAACATAAAAGGAATTAAACCCAAGAAGTTCAAGAAATGGACTAAAGTCATATTACTAGTTAGAGATTAGTTATGATTTCAGCTAGTTTTTCCAATGCTGAAGATAACCAATTCCTGCCATATAATAATCTGAGTCACCTTAAATATATATACACATATCTAAGTATATAAAAACCCTGAGATACTGTGAGACAAATATTATTATAGATATACAAGCTTAACTGGTTATTAAAACAAATATCTTACTTTTCTATTTATGTGTGAGTTTGAGGTACTTTATAAAAAGGTAAATGTATATACAATCTATATAAAGAGGGAAAGGAACTTCTTTATTGCAGTAAAAGAACTGGGGCAGTGTGACCTTCAAGTTAGGGGTCCAGGTTCTAGCTGGATGGACTACACCACTGTTTGCCGTGTCCTGGTTAAGCCTCAAGGGTCAGTCTTGTCTTATATAGAATGAGAAAGTAAGGTCCTGCTAGTGTTGATTCATGTCTCTACAAAGAGAAGGTTGAATTCTTAATGGACTTGCTCATTAGAATTTAATAAACATCTCCTTGCCTTGATTCTTATTTTTATATCATCAATGCTCAATTCAGATAAAGTCCACACTAAAATGGAAAAAAAAAAAACCCCGAGATACTGTGAGACAAATATCAGGAAATCTTGTCTCCTTTTTGCCCTTAAAACAATGCATACGAAAGTTTCAATTAAATACGGATCCTGAGATTTGTTGCCACATACAATAGAGAAAACAGGTGCTGTGGCACATGCCTATAATCTCAGTGACTCAGGAGGCCAAGGCAGGAAAATCCTAAATTTAGGGCTAGCCTCAGCAACTTAGCAAGACCCTCAGCAACTTGGTGAGAACCTGTCTCAAAATAAAAAATAAAAAGGATCCAAGATGGCGGGCTAGAGGGAGATCCAAGATGGCGGGCTAGAGGGAGGCTGCATTCTGTGTCACTCTGGGACCTGGGATTCAAGTAGTGGAAATATTGTTTCTGGGTGACTTATTAAAGAACCCTGAACAGCTGCTTCTATGCAGGAATAATGGCGACCATGCCTGTGCAGGTTTCCAGGCCTCAGAGTCAATGCAGGACTCCCAGCTACTCACCCACACAGCACCTCCAGCAGCCATCAGGACTGTCCGCATCAACACCCTCGCAGGAATCCCAGCTGCTGCTCCCACACAGGACACCCTGCCAATGCCCACGCAAAGAACCTCCAGCCACCACTCCAGCATGGACCCCCATCTACTAAAGCAGGGCTCTCCCCCCATTACCTCCATCTTGGGGCACTGCAACCACTGCTACAGACCCCTACAGATAGTAGCCTGCACCTGGGAACACTGCACAAGATCTAGAGACAGCCACCAGCCACAACACTGCATGCCACGGATCTGCATCTCTGAACACATTGCCCAATGCCACTGCCTGGCCCCACCCGACCTGACACCCCATCTCTGAAAAACAGCTGCCTCCATCTTAGAACACCTTTGTCACCACCTTTAGTTGGGTAATCTGTTTTTGGCTCTCTCTATTGAGTTTTCGTTGGGTAATCTGTTTTTGGCTGAGGCTTAGAAGAAATATCAAGGTACCTATAGTCCCCAATTCCCTCCTCTCCCCTGCAGCAGCTAACCTGGCACAATGCTTGCAGCTACACACAGCTAGTCCATAGCTTACAAAGCCTGGCCCTGAACTGCCCAATACAAAACACCTGTCAGCAGGTGCTTCGCCCCCAGCACAGCCCACAAGACCTCTAGAGAGATTTCTGACTGGGAAGTAGAAAGGGAAGGGGTGAGATACAGTTTAGAGACTAAATTAGAGACCAGGAATTGTAAGGTCTATAGGCGACATAAGGAGATAAGATCAGCGCTCACATTACACAGGTGGGCCCCAAAGGAGATCCTTTGGGTACAGTCTCCCATCGGGGAATGCAAGTGCTATATCCCACCTCCAGGAGCTCCATCTTCAAGACCAACCCTCCCACCCTAATAATCTTCACCATGCTGAGGGTGAAGATACCAGCAAACAACAGACAAACCCACCTATTGGATGAGAAGCAAAGCAAGAAAGATACTGATCTCCAACAAAAACAATTCTTGTTATCTTTCTTCGAGATTTTTTTTTCTCTTTTCTCTCTCTCTCTCTCTCTCTCTCTCTCTTCTTCTGCCTTAAAACATCCCCAACATTTGTGAAACCAAGAACTTTCCATGAACTAGGCTACTGAGGATTGGGATGTCTGAATAGTATATTTCAGTTATGCTGTATATTCTTTTATCTCCTATTTTTACATATTTCATGTTTCTGAATATTTGGTTTTTTGTACTTTCTCTATTGTCTTCCCACTTATTTGTGTCTCCCCAAAATCACTTTCTCTCTCTTCTGCTACTAACCAACTTCTTTAGATTCCTCTTTCATGTTTCCTAAGAACTAATAATTCTATATCCTCACTTCCTATCCCCTCAACATCTCATCCTACACCCCATCCCCAGTTCTCTCTTTGTCCACAATCAGAAACTGTAGACCCTTTTGCAAACTAACTGTTAATAGTGTAGATAATAACTGAACTCACCATTGCTATATATTGTGACAAAACTGTAAACGTCTTAATAACAGCTATTTCGTTAAGGCTGTATATTGTTTGATTGGGATCTGTTAATATTGTTCTCCCCCTTAAAGGTGAGGTATTGGAACCCGGCAGGGACACTATAAGCCTATAGGGTAAAACTCTAATGCCTCAGATCCACAGTGCTAGAAGGGAAAACACATGAACGACATGAAAAAAACAAGGGAAAAAAGTGTCCCAAACCAACCAAGAGACTACATTATTAGAATTTATGGCCAGAAAAACAGAAGAAATGACAGAGAAGGAGTTCAGAATGCACATAATTAAAATGTTCTATGAATTAAAGGATGATATAAGAGAAAATATAGGCAGCTAAAGATCATTTTCATAAACAGCTACATAAGCAAACACACAAAGCAAAAGATTACTCCAATAGGGAGACAGAGATTCTGACAAAAAAAAAATCCTTGAAATGAAAGAAACAGTAAACCAAATTAAAAACTCAATAGAGAGAGCCAAAAACAGATTACATCATTTGGAAGACAGAACATCAGGCAATAAAGACAAAATATATAACCTTATAAAAAGAACGTTGACCACACACTTAAAATGGTAAGAAACCATGAGCACAACATTCAACAATTATGGGATAACATAAAAAGACCAAATTTAGGAGTTATTGGAATAGAAGAAGGCACAGGGTTCCAAACCAAAGGAATGAACAATCTATTCAATGAAATAATATCTGAAAATTTTCCAAACATGAAGAATGAATTGGAATATCAAATATTAGAGGTCTTACAGGACACCAAATGTACAAAGTCACAACAGATCCACCCCAAGACACATTACAAAGAAAATGCCTAACATATAGAATTTT